TTCTATTGAAAAAAAAAATATACAAATTTAGATAATTTTAAAATGTTTAAAGTAAAAATAGGAATACTATCTAGATAAATTAAAAAAAATCAAGTAATAGGAAATTCCTATTTATTCTTCAAACACTTTAAATGCTCATTTGTGTGTTCATTTTCAATAGAAATATTAGAACAGAATACCGACAAAATCTCGATTCCTTTAACTTTGACTYTGAACTAGTTTTTAAAAGAAAAACAAGAATATTATACTTATAAATTAATTTAATTAAATAAATCTAATTTATATACATTTTTATAGTTACATTATGTAATAAAAATATTTATTAGTAATGATTGTATATGTGATAACGAACTTTATTAATCAAGGTAAAATCAAAAAAATCAGTTGCCTGATTAAAGTACTATAAAAAAGCATTCAGAAATGTGTATATGATTTTGTTTTTAATTTTAATGTTCGTTTGTAATATATTCCAGATAGTAAAATCGATGGATTCAAACGAATTCAAATATTTAATTAGCTTTATTGATAGGGACAACAATTTTAAATTGAAATAAGTCTAAATTATATAGTCTAAAATTGGAAGCTACATATAATAGACCACGGTCGATATTTCAGCTGAARATAGGTCATTCAAGGCCTCAGTCAAAAAAATCATCGTGGATACAAAATTTTAATATTGAGACCAAAACTGATTTTGCTAATCTTATGTTTGAGTGAAACATTTATACTTGTAAATTGTAATGRAAGTAAGTTTACAATCTATAGTCGGCTTGTAATTAGACATAAATAAATACATCGTCTTATATTCTATTATACCAAATGACATCTAAAATTAAAAAACAGTAATAATTACACTAAAAATAGACCAACAATGTTTTAACTGAGCAACTCTAGAGAAATTCATTTTAGGTAATTCCAAAAATAAAGTTCCCAAAAAGYATACTTCGCTCAAAGAAAAAATAAAAATACAATTTTACTGATTTAACGTTCCCTATACATATCGTGGAAATAAAAATATTTGAAAAACAACCTTAATATGTTTGAAAATGTATTCAGCTCCGAATATAAAGAGAATAAGAAACATATTATTCACACACGTAAAATTGTAGATGATGAAAATAAATACCATTTAGATTAATTTTCGATAGAAATAAAAGCCACTACACATATTAAATCTCGCATGTCTTGATAGAGCACAAAAAACATCACTCATTGGTAATATAATTATTTGTAAATGTCGCTTAGTATCATTCAATAACCATACTCGGAAAAAGAGACACAAACAGCTGACAAAGAGCACTAGATCAGCATAATCTGATATGTGAAATAAATAAACCAATTTTACTACAGGTGTCTGATTCAGGTACAATGCTTGAGTTTTGTGAGTAGTGTTATCATTTTTGCAGAATATGATAGGCAATTCTCGTTAAATTGTGCAGAAATAATCAAAAGTAAGAATAAATCATATTTTCAATGTAKTTTTCGTAACGGTTTTATGAAAACGTTTATTAGGTATTTTATTGTTTATTCGTTAAAAATCTGGGTTTGTTGCATAAACAAYTAAACGATTGTAATGGATCACAACTCAAAATTCAAAGGGGGTGGGAGGTGCTGTCATTTCCATAAAACTTTCACCTTAGAATTTGAAATAATTTGAACACATACATATTGGTTTCGA